AGCATTTTCCATCTAATGTGTTTCAAGATGGCTTAATGAAAACATTTTAGCCAACATAGCTTTAGACTCTACTGAACTTCCTTTATCTGGACTTTTCTTCCTTGTCTCAGTATTGGGGAAGTACAAAGTGCAGTGTGATTTTTTTTTTTTTACAGAGAATTTTTTAATGTAAACACAGTACATAATTTTAAAGTGAACAAAGTATGGGTATACATTTATTCAGACAAAATATATAAAATGAAAATTGGTACATTAAAAGATGCTCAATATCATAATTCATTAGGGAATTGCAAATCAAAACCACCATGGGATATCGCTTTTTATGCAGTAAGATGGTTATTTTTTAAATAAAATAAAATAAAATATTTTGTAGAGTGAAAGTGCTGGTTGCTCAGTCATGTCTGACTCTTTGTGACCCCATGGACTGCAGCCTGCCAGGGTTCTCCCATCTATGGGATTCTCCAGATGAGAATACTAGAGTGGATTGCCATTTCCCTCTCTAGGAGATCTTTCCGACCCCGGGATCAAACCCCCGTCTCCTGCATTGCAAGCAGACTCTTTACCATCTGAGCTACCAGGAAAGCCCTTTGGTGAGTATCCAGAGTAATTTAAATTCTCAGAAATAGCCAATCAGTCTATAAAATGGTACAACTACTCTGGGAAATAATTTGGCAGGTCCTCAAAATATTAAATGCAGAATTTCCATGTGACTCAGCAATAACGCTTGTAGGTATCTACCCAAGAGAATTGAAAGAAAAATAGTGACACAAAAAGTTGCATGCAAATGACTATTCATAATAGATAGTAAATGGAAACAAAAGAAATGACCCTCAATTGATTAAAGGATAAACAAAATGCATTTGTTCTTATAAAGAAATATTTAGCAATAAAAAGGAAAGACACACTACTGCTGCTGCTGCTGCTAAGTCACTTCAGTTATGTCCGACTCTGTGTGATCCCATAGACGGCAGCCCACCAGGCTCCCCCATCCCTAGGATTCTCCAGGCAAGAACACTGGAGTGGGTTGCCATTTCCTTCTCTAATGTGTGAAAGTGAAGTTGCTCAGTCATGTCTGACTCTTAGCGACCCCATGGACTGCAGCCTACCAGGCTCCTCCCTCCATGGGATTTTCCAGGCAAGAGTACTGGAGTGCAGTGTGATTTAGAAGGTAGTGGCAGTAACTCCATTCCCTTCTCTTTTCTGTTTTGTCCTCTTTAGGCTTATCTTCATTTCTCTTCTTTTCTCCTCCCTATTCTTTGCTTCAGTATTCTTTTCTGTTCGTGCCCTTTTTCATTTGTGTGTGCATTAGTATAAGAAAGGCGTCCTCAGCTCTCACTGGCCTGTTGAGATCTAAAATGCTAACTTAGCTTCCTTTTATGTATCTAACAGAAACAGAGAAAATATCAAAATTATGGTTAGTCTTATTTGTTCCCTTTATACATTTTTGTTAGGTTGAACTATATGCAGTTGTCAATATTATTTTGATCTCCAGAAATAGATCGAACCTTATACTTCAGTTACTAGCCTGCAGCAAAAGATTTGAAAGGGATTGGATGAGAGCCCTGAGTAGGAGAATTGGATTTTCCCCAGAGATTCTGGCTTAGGTAACTGGGTAGATGAGAGTGCTGTCATGATGCCAGTACCATCAACCAACATGGAGAACACCGAAAAGCATAATTTGGTTTTGTTTTTAAGGAGAATGTTTCATGGAGGGGAAGCATAAATAATCAGTTTAACTTGGAGTTGTAGTGGGATTCAAGGAGAGATGGCTAGTTGACACTTGGAAATATGGACTTGTAATAGATAAGCTCATTGGCATGTAGGTGGCACTTAAAAACATGAGTTTCAATGAGCTTACTGAGTGAGAAGAAAAGGGAGACCATGGCTTATCTTGAGGAATGGGAAGAGGATCATGCCAAAAGAAAAAAAACTCAGATAAGGGCATACATAGAAGTAAAAAGGCTTATTTATCATTTTACAATGATTCATTAGTATGTAAAATTAAGATTGTGTAACCTTGGAAGTTATATTTCAAATGTGTCTCGTTTGCATATGCATATTAGTGTGTTAAAGCGTAAGTCAGAGGTTTTCATCTTTTCCCAAGGAGATTAAAGTAATATTTTACTATTTGTATCTGTGGACGAATGAATATAAGCTCTATAATATGAGAGAGTTGTGGGATCTGCCTATCTTCTAACATCTTTCTCTTTTTTTGAAGCACTATACTGCATTTAAACAGTAGGTCAGGTGGAACACCAGTGAGATTGTTACCATTACTGCCGTCTTAAAATGTTGGTTTGCTGTAGCATTCCCTCTGGGGCCCACTCTGCCTGCATCATGAATCCCAGAATCCTTTGGATTAAAGCCTTGCAGGGGACTGTTCCAATGTGAAGCCGACTCTCTGGGCAGCACTGTTGAGGGGAGCAGTACAGCACTGCTATGTTGCTTGAGGGGAGCAGTGCACAGCCATAGTCCTGTAACTTACTGTTAACTTAAAAGTCACATTAAACTTTCTTATTGTTTACAATTCTCATCAATCTGATATTTCATATGCAGAGATCAATATGAAACAGTAGCAAAGAATTGTTTCTTTTGTAATCTTATTAACACTTTGCTTATTTCAGGAATGGGTAGTTGATTTTTATCTGGAATTAAAAAGGATTTTTTCCTTGAAGTGTGTAGGCAGTATACTCTTAAGTGAACACACATTTTAGAACATATTTGACTAGCTTGTAGTAAAAAAAAAAAATTATGTTAAATAATGTTTCTTTCACAAATATAAAGTCTTTATATTTCCTTTTTGTGTTTTATTTAAAGTACTGCTAAAGAATGCCATTATGTTACTAATTTCCATAAGCAGAGCTCTCCGTGCAAACATACAGACATATGACATATCATTTTAGGTTTATTCTGCTTTTCCTGGAGCTCTTCAGCTCTTTATGCATGAAAGCTGAATCAATTATTCATTCATTTATTCAACAACCGTATTGATAACAAAAGAGCAAGAAAGTCAGGTAAAATCAAGTTTTTCAAAAATATTGAGTGAAAAGAGCAAATTGTAGCAAAGATACATATAAATGTGATGCCATTTTTAGAATTTCTTAATCATAGAAGTTATATCTATCATTTCATCTCTTTAAATAAAAAACTGAGGCAAATTTGGCAAAATGTTAACATCTGTTAAATCTAGGTAATGCATACAGTATTTGAGTATGTTTCCTTTTTTCTACACTTCTTTGTACATTTGAAATAGTTCATAAATTAAAGCATTTCTAATTTTTTATTTAACAAAATGGGCAATATGATTGGGAGTGACCAGGCCGCTTTAGGTTGGTTGATCAGGGAAGTTCTCTCTGGGGAGGTAACATATTGAGACCTGAATAACAGGCAGGAGTTACTCACAAAAAAAATGTACAGATGGTATTCCAGACAGAGAAGCAGCTACTGCCACAGTTCTGAGACAGAAGCATGATGCGTTCAAGAAGAGAAGACCATTTAACCTATCTGGTTATAAAACCAACAGTTACACTGTGGAGGTAAATGGTCTTTTAGTCTCTGAATACTTAAAGGAAGCTCACTATTTTCGTACTTAGCTTATTCTTATACAGAGTTGTTCTGTGTAGGGACTTAACAGACTAATTGTGATAATGACATATCAAAAGCACACAGAAGCTGGCCTGAAGAGTTTCTCAGTGGTCAGGTCAGAGACAGTTTGAGCACCAAGAACTTAAGGAAGTGACCAAAGTTGTTATGAGCCTCTATGATGTGATGCAATAAGTCCCCAGCATCACATAAATTGTATCCCTGATAACAATGTTAAACTGGAATCTAATCCCAAAGAGGAGACAATTAGAAAAATCTAGAATATAGGACATTTTGAGACAACTGGCCGGACTTTTCAAAAAATTCAGTGTTAAGAAAACAAGATTGGGGAGGTTCTCTGTGTCAAAGTATATAGAAGTGAAATGATATTTTGTCCGCAGTTCACTTTCAAATAGCTCATCAAAAATGTGTGTGTCTGTGTTTATAGAGCTAGAAGAAAGCAAGTCGGTGATCCTCGGAGGTGAAAGACTGTGTGTATGTGTGTGGGTGTTCATTGTACTAGTCTTTCAACTTTTGTAAGTTTTAAAATATTCAAAATTTAAAGTTGGAGAAGATGCTTATTCTTCTTTTGAACCTCAAGCCAACTTTTAATGTTTTTTGTCTGTTGGTTTAATTGTGCTGTGTGGAGCCACTCTGATAGATTTAAATTCTCCACCATGTGGTGTTAGTGGTATTAGTAATGGTAATCCTGGTCATTTTTATGTAACATTGGTTGAATGTGTACAATGATATGCCAGACATAGTATTTCAGTTAATCCTTCTAACCACTCTTGAGTTCATATTCATTCCTCCTTGTAAAGATGAAAACACAGACAGTTAAAAAGCTATCACTAAAGCAACAGAAAAAAAAAAGCATTTCAAAGATGAAAGAATGAAAATGTGAATTTGTGAGGCTGGCAAGAATACTCATTTGGTGAAAGCAAGATAGAAAAACTTCTGTGATAAAGTCACTAGACTTTATGCATATTTTTCTGGCCTGGAACTTGTTCTGTATACCATTGAGAAGCAATCTATTGTGGTGGTGAAGATCACTGTTCCTGAAGCCAAAATGCCTGGGTTTAAATTCCAGCTCCACCATTTGCAAGCTGCTCCTGCCTGAGAAGCACATTTCTGCAATTCCTCCTGGGTACCTGTATTAGTTTTTTTTTTTTATCGCTGCTGTAACAAATTACTGCAAAATTGGTGGCTTGAAATGACACAAATTTTTTCTAGCTCTGAGGTCAGGAGTTCAAAGTGGGTCTCACTGGGCTAAAATCAAAGATTAGCAGAGTTGCACTTTCACATGGAGGCTCTAAAGGTAGCTATTTCCTTGCCTCTTCCACTCTCTAGAGGCCACCCAATTATTGGTTTCCCTCATCCGAACCAATAATGTATCTCTCTGAACCTTTCTTCCACAGGAACATCTCCCACTGATTCTCATATTCTGCCTGCTTCTACTTTTAAGGGCACTGGTTTTTACTTTGGGTCCACCCAGGTAATCCTCAATAATCTATTTTAATGTCAACTGATTAGCAACCTTAATTCCATTTATGACCTCAATTGTCTTTGCCATGTAACCTAACATATTTATAGGTTCCTGGGATGAAGGCATGAACATCTTTGAGGGACTATTTTTCTGCCAACACATCTGTGTTTAGATTCTATAGCTGTATAAGGTAGCTGGAGCCAGGAGAAAATGATCCCGAAGTAGAGATCCTGGCTAATGCTGAGGACCATGAGTAGGACCAATAACTAGGTTTGAGCTGAAAGGAATTACTATGCAATGTATGTACATGTACATACATTTTTATAATCTCTTACTGGCAGTAGATTCAGTATATAAAAAGTGGTTGAATTAGAAGGAAGCAGCTGAGTTTTAGATACATCATGGTAGGTAGAGGAATGATTAAAATATTAGATTTTATTTCTGTCTTCTTGTGCCAGCTCTCAGAGGGAAATGTTCTTGATTTAATTACAATGTAGAGATACTTTGGGTTTAATTTCAATTTTTGTCTTTATTACAGATTTTTAATTTCAATTTTTGTTTTTATTACAGATTTTTACTACCCTTGAATGCACTCCTGATATGGAGAAGATTGAAGAACAATTTGCCAGCTTGAACATTGTTAAACGTTCCTCAGAAACTAAAGAGCCTACTTACCTGCTTGGCATAGACACGTCAAAGACTGTACAAACAGAAAAAGGAAGCTTGGTTGCTGTTTTATGTTCTAATGGATCAATCAGAATATATGACAAAGAAAGGTTAAATGTACTACGAGAATTTAGAGGGTATCCTGGACTTAATGGAGTCAAGTTTGCGAATTCCCGTGACAGTGTGTATTCCTCATGCACGGATGGCACGGTTAAGTGTTGGGATGCTCGACTGGCCAGTGGAAAACCTGTCCAGCTGTTCAAGGGTTACCCTTCCAATACTTTTATCAGTTTTGATATCAGCTCTAATGATCATGTCATTTGTGCTGGTACAGAAAAAGTTGATGATGATGCACTGTTGGTATTTTGGGATGCAAGAATTAATTCTCAGGACTTGTCTACTGCCAAAGAGCCACTTGGTGCATATTCAGAGACACATAGTGATGATATCACTCAAGTATGTTTTCATCCCAGTAATCCAAACATGGTAGTCTCAGGATCAACTGATGGCCTGGTAAATGTATTTGATATTAGCGCGGATAATGAAGATGATGCACTGGTCACAACCTGTAACTCAGTTTCATCAGTAAGCTTTATTGGTTGGTCTGGGAAAGATTATAAACAGATTTACTGCATGACACATGATGAGGGATTTTGTTGGTGGGATCTTAATCATCTGGATACAGATGAACCAATTACATGTTTGAACATTCCAGATGTCAGAGAAGTAATTAACGTGAAAGAAGGGAATTTGGACTATTTGATTGGTGGCCTATATAATGAAAAGATGGACAAATTGTTTGTTGTTGGAGGGACAAACACAGGAATTATTCACATAATGAGCTGTATGACATCAGGATTGGTCCATGTGACCAGCCTTCAAGGAGGGCATGCTGCTACAGTCCGGTCCTTCTGTTGGAATATGCAGGATGATTCTTTGCTAACTGGAGGAGAAGACGCACAGTTGTTACTTTGGAAACCTGGAGCAGTAGAGAAGACATTTACAAAGAAAGACAGCATGAAAATAGCATCCTCTGTATACCAGCGTGTTCGCGTTCACAGTAATGATTCTTATAAGAGAAGGAAAAAGCAATGATGTTACATCGGGCATTTACTTGATAAGTTTTATAGTTGCAAATGATTATTTCTGTGTACTACCTGTGGTAGACATGTTAAAAGTTCATATATAAATAAAACAAGCCAGTTAGCAAACAAGAAATGCTGAGAATGGTTTAATTCAAGTCTTCATGTATTCTAAAATTATTTTTTTAAAGCTGCCAGTTGAGTATATAATCAGTGAGTTGAAAGTAAAATTACATTCCTCATTTAAAAAACCCATCTGTTGAATTAGTAAATGTTGGGTTTGAAGAAATAGCTTTGATAAGGGTTTTTTAGAAGTAGATGGCTGGTGTGACTTTTAAAAACAGGTGGTTTGGGTTGTGTTTTTTAAGCTCAATTTTTTACTTTTTTAGTCATCTTTAGTACTTATAAAACCAAATCAGACTGTTTTTTCTTTATTTGAGAAGCCCCTACTTGCTTAATACATGTAGATTACACTAGCATTGTAGTTGAGTCCCAAAATCATGTTCAACTCTTTGCGACCCCATGGACTGCAGCACGTCAGCCTTCCCTGTCCTTCACTGTCTCCCAGGGTTTGCTCAAATTCATGTTCATTGAGTCAGTGATACCATCCAACCATCTCATCCTTTGTCATCCTCTTCTACTTTTGCCTTCAATCTTTCCAGCATCAGGGTCTATTCCAGTGAGTTGGTTCTTTACATCAGGTAGCCAAAGTATTGGAACTTCAGCATCAGTCCTTCCAGTGACTATTCAAGGTTGATTTTCCTTAGGGTTGACTGGTTTGATCTCCTTGTAGTCCAAGGGACTCTCAAGAGACTTCTCCAAAAGCGTCAGTTCTTTGGCACTCAACCTCCTTTATGATCCAACTGTCATATCCGTACATAACTACTGAAAAAACCATAGCTTGACTATACAGACCTTTGTTGGCAAAGTGATATCTCTGCTGTCTAGATTTGTCATGGCTTTTCTTCCAAGAAGCAAGTGTCTTCTAATTTAATGGCTTCAGTCACCATCTGCAGTGATTTTGGAGCCCAAGAAAATAAAGTCTGTCACTGTTGCCACTTTCGCCCCATTTGCCATGAAGTGATGAAGCTGGATGCCATGATCTTAGTTTTTTGAATGTTGAATTTTAAGCCAGCTTTTTCACTCTCCTTCCTCCAGCCTGGCATTTCACATAATGGACTCTGTATATGGGCTTCCCTTGTAGTTCAGTCAGTAAAGAATCTGTCTGCAATGCAGAAGACCCGGGTTCAATTCCTGGGTCAGGAAGATCCCCTGGAGAAGGAAATGGCAACCCACTCCAGTATCCTTGCCTGGAAAATCTCATGGACAGAGGAGCCTGGTGGGCTGCAATCCATGGGTCGTAAAGAGTCAGGCGTGACTGAGCAACTAACACTTACTTATTCTATATATGTTAAGTAAGCAGTGTGACAATGTACAGCCTTGTCTTACTCCTGCCCCAATTTTGAACCAATCATTTGTTCCATGTAGGATTCTTACTGTTGCTTCTTGACCTGCATACAGATTTCTCAGGAAACAAGTAAGGTGGTCTGGTATTCCCATCTCCTTAAGTGTGTGTGAGTCACTCAGTTGTGTCCAACTCTTTGAGATGCCTTGGGACCATAGCTCACCAGGCTCCTCTGTCCATGGAATTCTCCAGGCAGGAATACTGGAGTGGGTGCCATTCCCTTCTCCAGGGGATCTTCCCGACCCAGGGATTGAACCTGGGTCTCCCTCATTATGGGCAGATTCTTTACTGTCTGAGCCACCAGGGAAATATTTTCAACAATTTGTTGTGATCCCCACAGTCAAAAAAAAGCAGACTGGTGGCACTAGTAGTAAAGAACCCTCCTGCCAATGCAGGAGACATAAGAGATGTGGGTTCGATCTGTGGGTTGGGAAGATCCCCTGGGGGAGGAAATGGCAACCCACTCCAATATCTTTTCCTGGAAAATCCCATGGACAGAGGAGTCCGGCAGGCTACAGTCCAGGGGTCACAAAGAGTCGGGCACGACTGAAGTGACTTAGTACCAAAGTCAAGACTTTAGTGTAGTCAATGAAGCAGAAGTTTATGCTTTTCTGGAATTCTGTTGCTTTTTCTATGATCCAGTGAATGTTGGCAGTTTGATCTCTGATTCCTCTGCCTTTTCTAAACCCAGCTTGTACATCTGGGAGGTTTTGGTTCACATGCTGCTGAGGCCTAGCTTGAAAGATTTGAGCATAACCCTACTAGCATGAGAAATGAGCACAGCTGTAGTTTGAACATTCTTTGGCATTGTCCTTCTTTGGGATTGGAATGAAAACTGACCTTTTCCAGTCTGGTGGCCACTGCTGAGCTTTCCAAATTTGCTGACATATTGAGTGCAGCACTTCAACAGCATCATCTTTTAGGTTTTTAAATAGCTCAGCTGGAATTGTATCACGTCCACTAGCTTTGTTTGTAGTAATGCTTCCTAAGGCCCACTTGGCTTCACACTCCAGGATATTATATTTAAATATAAATACTCTAAATAGAATTAAACTTTTTCAGAAATAGTGATTTGCATTTTTGAGAAAAATATATTGAGTAAATTTGCATCAATGCTTTTAATATTATTGGTTAAACAGGTGTTTCACTGATGAAAAGGAAAATATCTTACAAAATTCATTTTGAAACTAAAAGTAAATATACAAAAATTAAAGTGTTTATAATAGCAGAATGACTTTTTATTTTCAAAAGATTCCAATATTTTGCTATAAAATTTTCTTCTAAAGTGTTTCCTTCATCTGTAATTTTAAACTTGAATTTTTGTTTACTGCTAATTTTTCCATACTTCCTTTTAACTATTTCTGCAAAGAATCTTAGTTAAAAAGTTGATCTTTCTAAAGGTTTGGTACCTTATCTATGAGACTGTAGCACTGGAGAAATTTTTTTTCTATGGAACCTTTGTAACTTACATTTAGATATGATCTAACTTAACTCAAGTGAGACTGAACAATAGGTGAAAATGAAAGTCCTCAGTCATGTCCAACTCTTTGTATGGTTTGGATAATACCAAGCATAGTTGAATTTCTTGAAATAAGAATTATGTATTTTTAGTATGTTTAATAGTTACTTACGTATTATTTGGGCTTCCCTTGTGGCTCAGCTGGTAAAGAATCTGCCTGCAATGCAGGAGACCCAGATTTGATTCCTGGGTCAGGAAGATTCCCTGGAGAAGGGAAAGGCTGCCCACTCCAGTGGTGGGTGAAAATGAAAGTTCTCAGTCATGTCCAACTCTTTGCGACCCCATGGACTATAGAGTCCATGGAATTCTCCAGGTCAGAATACTGGAGTGGGTCCCAGGTATTATCCAAACCATACACCTGAGGGTAACTTAGTACTTTCCCTTTTTCTCTTAATCACTCACCAAGTCCTGTGCCATTCTACTTCCTAATAGAAGTAGGAACTTGTCATCTTTTTTTTGCTTTACCCCCTACCACTACTGCCTTAGATAAGACTTTCATCGTTTCTCTCCAAGATTATAGACTCTTATCCACTCCAGTTCATTTTCTCTACTCTTCTTGACTGAACATCAAAAACACAGGTTTGATAATGCCTCATGCTGCTTAAAATCTTTGATACATTTTGATCTTTTGATAGAGGACTATGTAAAAATGAAAAGCCATGTTTTTAACATATTTAGTATATGAGGTAATGCTGACTATGTTGTAAGTGGGAAAAAATTAAATTATTAAAATGACACAACTTAAGAGGCTATCCCAGAACTTCAGTCTTGAGGTTGAAAGGCCCAAAAAGAGTGTCAAGTGTAATGACAATAAGACCGCCCAATTTTTTTCAATGGTCAAAGGTTCTGAATAGACATTTCTCCAAAGAAAATATACAAGTGGTCAATAAACACACAAAAAAAGATGTTTAATATCATTAGTCAGTAGGGAAATGCAAATTGAAACCACAATGAGATACCATTTCACACCCAGTAGGATGGCTATTTTTTTTAAAAAGTATTGGTGAGAGTGTAGAGAAAGCTTCACACGCTGCTATTAGGAATATAAAATGGTATAGCTGCAGTCTGGCAACTCTTCAAACAGTTGCTATTTGATACAACAGTTTCACTCCTAGGTTTATGCTGAAGAGAATTGAAAACGAATCCATACAAAAACTTGTATATGAATATTCATAACAGTATTCACAATAACCAAAAGAGGGAAATTCAAATGTCCATCAGTTGACGAATGGATAAAAGTACACATATGATGGAATATTATTCATCCATGAAAAGGAAAGAAATATTCATCCATGTAGTATTGAGTGCCACAACTCTGATGAATCTTGAAAACACTAAGTAAAGATAGCTACAAAAGACTACATATGTATGATTTCATTTACATCAAATGCTCAGAATAGTCAAAAATCTATAAGGAGAATCATATATACAGTATTTGCCTGGGGCTGGGAGGTGGGGGGGAAATGAGGGGGTTGATGGCTGATTGCTGATAGGATTTCTTTTGGGGATGATGAAAATATTCAAAAATTGATTGTGGTTATGGTTGCATAACTCTGGGCATATTAAAAACTATTAAATTGTACACTTCAAATATATGAATTTTATGTGAAGTACATCTGAATAAAGCTGTTGCCAAAAAAAAAGATACACCAAACAGATATGAACCAAAAAGCTAGGGGGCAATCTTAATTATTGACAAATGGAATTTACAGATGTAATTATTGACAAATGTGGCATTGATTCCAAAATCAGATGAAAATGAAGAAAAAGGTTTATTTTGTTTGTTATGAATATATATTCACAGTTTAAAATGTTGGCTACCAAATCCAGTGGTGTATTTTTTAAAAACTTGACAAATAGGGTTTGTCTCAGGGATCCTAGGGTGACTCAACATCAGAAAATCTATTGGAGTGATAGACAAAGAGTGACAGAAAAACATGTGGTAAGACTTAATACCTATTTATGAAAAATCTAAACCTCAAGCTATCAATAGAATAATTTTAACTTGGTTAAAGTTTATATATAAAAAAATATGCACTAAATGTTATTCTTGTGGAAAAATGTTAGATTAAAATACGTTTTCTTTGAGAAATTGAGACTGGAATGCAATGAGGAAGCCTATTGGAGTAGTACAGATTCTGGCTAATACTAT